CCCGCCCTGGCAGTGGGCTTCCCGAGGCCAGCCTTGGGTGGCGCATGTTGCGGGGGTGGCGCAGATTGTTCACTGGGTTGGTGCTATTGGATATTCAATAACCATGTGAATGTGTTTGACCAACCCAGTGAACTACCTTTCACAACCTGGCTGGTGAACAAAAACACAACATATATCACAACACAACGTCGATATGTTGTGTTTTTCCATGTGCTGGTTAAAAGCCTTGACCAAGGTAGATGATGGTAGATGACTGTCACAAAGGGGGTGTGCTTGTGTGACGTTTCTGCGTGCCGTTCCTGCCGTTCCTTTGGCCTTGGTTTGTGTGTGTGATCTTGTGGGAAAGACGAAGGGGAGCCACCATGACCTGGGTTGCCCATCATAAGGCGTTCGTTGTTTTGTCCTCCAGTTGATTTTCTAGAAGGTCTCTATCATTCTCTAGCGAGTTTCTACCATACACACTATATAGCCCCTATCGATGATATGCCTTTAATGGAAGTTCAACTATATGGCATCCATCCCACGGGGCAAGACGGTAAAAGTTCCATCCAATATGCCAGTGGGGCCTCACGAGGGTTCCCTTCCCCACCCCATCCAATCCGGGAGGACAAGCCTCGGTACTTGATGGGCGTCGGCTATCCTTTGGACGCTTGGATTTGTGGGACAGCATTTGGCCTTGGGGGGCTTTATCCTGCACACCCAAGAGGGAGAAGGCGCTTGGCGCGCGCAGGACCAAAGAGTTCTTGTCTCGGCCACCCGATTGGCAGAACACAGACAGAGTCAAGACATGGTATATTATAGTGGTTCTTGACTTGCACCATTCCCACAAGGTACTTTTCTTAATACTAGGGCCTATATTATAAGGCTTAAGGAAGTGCCATGGGAATGCCAGAAATCCTGCACCAGCCGAACCCCCATGGCCCACTTGTCACATTGTCAACATCAAAATGAATGCATGAATCTCCTGACCCACGCCCGAGAGCTTTGCACGTGGATTCAAACATTTTTCAGACTGCAGTCTGCAATAAGTCGGAGGACTGAGAACCACTCCATTGGGACGCCAATGGCAACAGCTAAATCGGCTTCAACGCACAAGCTGCACTGCTGCCAGCGAATGAAGCGAGTGGTGCTTTGAAATGTTTCCACTATATATCTGACAAACAAAGTTCCTTTGGCTGGGGTGTGATCGGTGGTTTTCGTTTGCTCAAATGTTCACCGACTCCAGTGGAACTGAAATGCCTTGTGACCCATTTTCTCGTCATGGGCAGATGGTGTAATGTCCTGATCATCTACCCGCCAGCGGCTCTAAGGACATTGTCATTTGCGTGGCCCTAGGGGTCGACATGTTCGATGCTCGCCCACGCAAGCTGCGTGACATGCGCCAAAACAGTTGGAGGGTGATCTGGTGGCCTAAACAATAAAGGACTTGGGTCATCGGTCTGAACCAGTTCTCATTCTCATGCTGAAAGAACCCTGTGGTAATACTTGGTAAAATTAGTGTTTTTCATTCTCATCAGCAGCATCATCCAGCCTGCCACACACTAGACATCTACACCAGCTGCCAAGACATACCTGTTCAGGTTGTTGGATTGCATACTGTGTGATATTGTGGCGGAGGACGAACTGCTTCCGTTCACCGCTTTGGTTTGTACCAGGAGGCTTTGGTTTCAATCCAGTGTAGATCCCTCAAAGGAGATGCGTGATAGAAGAGCTGGTCGAACAACTGCTGAGACTGGAGACTGGAGACACTGTTGCCTGCGTCTCCCAGTGCAAAACCTGATTGGCCCCATCAATTCTGTCAAACACACCACCCCCATTGCATTGGTGGACTCCCGTTGAAGTCTTCTGGACTTGTGGGACGGGCTCCTGTCCGATCCCTTCCGTGCAGTCACCCTGTCACACCGAGGATTGTGTCTACCCTTGTCGCACCGCCCGCTTCGGCACCGCCCTGGTGCGCAGTGGACAGCTCCGGCTGACCAGCGCGGAGTTCGCGCAGGACTTCCGGCCGCTGGAGGTCAATGGGAAAGGCGGGGAGGTCAATGGGAAAGGGTGGGGCGGTGGTGCGGTGCGACGGATTTGCATGGATTTGCTGCCAAGGCCTTTGCTAGGGTAGGTCACTGCCAACGAGGTTTCGGGTGAGAACACCATCCCTGTTTTGCGGGATATAAGCATCATCCACCCCCCACAGAAGGCAACCTGGAATGGCTGATACTGGTATTGAGCAAGTAGGAGAGGCTTCTTGTAAGCAGAGCTCCCAGAGGGTGTCACTTAAGGGGATATGCTTTGATCGGCGGGAACGGATCGAAGGTGGCCACACACGTGGGACCTTCGACCCATTTTCAGCAGTAGCTGCTGGCAGCATCCCACGCAATGAGTTGTCCCAGCAGTTTTTTGATGAGCGTCACCGGTGAGTGCGAATAGGTCGAATAGTCGAATAGGTTCTCTCGGTGAGAAGACCTGGACCTATACGGCTACTTGAATATTATGGGCTGTGGGTCAAAACATTGGGGGGTCTAGACACACCATCTAACATTCTGCTATTCCCCATTGGTTGGATGGTAGGAGCTTGGCCTCTGCAAAATAATATCAAAATAAGAACAGGGAGCCAACCCTTGCAATGACCATTTTTCCAATCAATTCTGGATGCCCCTTCTCTACAACAATGGTCGCCCAGTGGAGCCTTGGAGTCCGCTGCCCGCACGAAGGCCCGTTGAAGGAGTACACTCGGGCGATGCTCCACACGATTGTCACCAAGGAGCCTGTGGCGGCGCAGCTCATCACTTGGCACAACCTATGGTTCATGCTGCTGGGCGAGATCGTAGACACGGGGCAGCAGGCTGAAGGGCTCACCTAGGTCATAAGTCCCAAGCTAAATCAAGTCATGTTCTGTACATCCATGCCCGTGCCGGGGACAAACCAAGTATCGAAGACATATATTTCGTTTGACCAATGTACGAACGCCACGATGAACTGGGCACCCCCTGGTGCACCAGCTACGACTCGTGGCCAGCCTGCTTTCTTGGGGCCTTGGGACTGAGGCTAAACCTGTTGACGGAGATGCGAGAGGCCATCAAAGCGCAGACCTTCTCAGACGCTCCGGTGAAGCACAGCGCAGCACAGCTCACGTGTGGCGGTGTGAGAGGTGGGTATGAACATCCAAAGCCTCAGGTTGACTCAAGCCCTTTTGAGGTGAGCATGCACCAGGACTTTTCACAGAACAGGTCAAAGAATTTCAATGATCATTGGGACCGTTGGGCATTTGCCAGTGCATTGATTGTGGTCCTCGGATCGTCGGTCTAATTCGTGTATCGCCTGTATCGTCTGGCTTTGCCGCTCAGGACTGGGTGCGGCAGTTTCTCAAGGACTTCTTCCCGACGGCCACACCGGCGCCCTGCGCGGTGTGCCCACCACGCTGGGTCAAGGCGGCCTTGGAGGTGTGCGGCATCGGCTTGGAGGACCTCTTCGATTGGAGTGGCGCAGCCGCACACCTGCGTGCGCGGAGCGCGTGCGCGGCAACGTTTCACGCCGATCGTTTGGGGAGAAGCAGGCTGTAGAAGGATGCAGAAGGTGCACACTTGGGATTTGCGCCGTGAGTTTTGTTTGTTTTTTAAGTTGGAAGATTGCTTGAAGCTTGAAGTCGCATTTTGTTTGATTCTAGCTTGAATCGGTTCTGCTCCTTTTTCTCGACACCAGTGCCAATCCAGATGCCCTCATCCACTTTGTGCTAAGGTGAGACTGCTAAGGAGCTGCCTGACATGCCAAAGGATTCAGGGAAGAGCTCCAAGGCAGCCGCCTAAGGCAGCCGTTTCGCTCCGCAGCCGTCCGCAGCCGTGTGAGTTTGGGGCAGCACCGGTGCGAACAGGACATAGCCCCGCGCCGCCCGATTCTGCACAGCGAAGCTACAGAGAAAGAGGGGGGTGGAAGAAGGCTGCTTGAGGGGAGAAGAAAATTAACTAACTGATGATTGATAAATTGATGATGCACCTCTTGAGTAGATTCATCACATGAAGCGAGTTTGGTTGCTTCATGTCCATGTCCATGAAGCCATTGCATCATGTCGACACATGGATTTTACCATCACCCCCGAGAAGGTCGGAAGGTCAATCCAATCATGCGGAACCATGTTATGAATTGTGGCTGCGTCCATCAGGAGAGATTCCAACGACCCAATTTCTTCACAAGAAGATTCGATCGGGAGGAGTGATACAGTAGCTTAGATAGCTTAGTAGATTTCCACCGGGGGGGGGACCAAATTCATTGGGGTGGGTTATGAATATACAGAGTCAGAGGATTTTCGGGGGACCTCCTTTGAGAGCTTGAATTGTGATGTTTTGTGGGGATTCTTGATTGTTTGGATTGACTTGCACTAGAGGTGGTGGAGAAGGAGATTTGATATTATGATTCGTTGACTCATTTTAAGTTTTCATTGAGTGGCGTGGGCAAACTGCCAAAGGTATGAGCCACCAATCAGCCAGCATCCATACCAGATCGCATATCAAAGGGGGTGAAGACCGGGAAGAGCGGTGATTAGTAATTAGTATTGCATGGTTTTCAGGAAGAAAAAACGGGTCTTACATGGCCTTACTATCAAGAGTGTTCCTAATCATGTGTCGACTTACAGCAGGACCTTAGGTGATGGTCCACATGGGTCAGGTTGGATTGGCAACTTTGACCCAGGCAAAAGTGTGTTCAAAGTGTCACCGTGATCAAGTCACTGATTGAAAGATAGAACAAACCATGAAAATAGATAGAATAATGTTGGTTCTGTGGAGCGTCCGTAAGCACCTTTTTGGAACTTCAACCTCATGAACGTTCATCATAGAAGATGGACAAACAAGAAACGGTAGATTGGCAATTCTTTAGGTAACGGTCATGTTGTGCAACATCTATATATATCTATATACCACGAAAACCCCGACATCAGTTTGGTGCTCCCCGACACCCCTGTTCAGTTATATAGCTGGCCCTTCATTCCGTGGGGCCACTGTGAACGACGCCAGGTGCCCTCGAAGTTGGCATCGCTGCTTTGCGAGGCGCGCGCCGTGTTGAAGGGCAAACCCAGCAGCGAGCCACCCACCCACGAGAGCAAGAAGAAGAAGAAGAAGAAGAAGAAGAAGAAGAAGCCACGAAGATTTCAGACAACGAGTAACGACAACCACTCCATACGTCCTCCCCGTTCCTGGTGCTCCTTTGGGTCCAGGTCCTGGGCGTGGACGCGGTGAAGGTCCGCTGGTCGCCACCCCTGGACACGGCCACGGCGCGGGCGATCGTCGCGCGCGATCGTCGCGTGCGTCGGGGCGGGGGTGAAGGTGGGGGCAGGTTGGAGTGAGCCCTAAGTGGGTTGGAGTGCTAAGATAGAAGCAGGAGCAAGTTGGGATGTTGGGCATGAACTAATTAGGGGTGAATCCGGACACTGGCCCAGAGAGAGATCCAGAAGCAGCTGAAAATCCAGGAGTTCTTAGGTTTCTTAGGTGCATGGATCTATAAAGCACATTGGAATATCCAAATTTCTGAAGATGAAACTGGTGGTGAATGAGTGGCTTGGCTCTTGGCTTGCCGAATGTGTCTCCATGGCTTGGCTTCGATTCTGGGCACTTTTGGCCAGTGCTGACAAGTGGATGAACAGGGTGAAGAGGGACCTTGAGGGACGAAGCCGTTTCGCACACCTGCTAGACGGTTGCTGAGCTGCAAGTGCTGCGCTACAAGATCTTGGTTAGCTGGCTGCTTGGAGCATTTCGATGGACCAAGCATGCTGTTTGCAGGGTTCTTGGTGGGGTAACAGCTGAAAACAGCATGTACCGAGTACAACAGAGTATATGCACGCAGGCATGCACACACACAAACACACAGACACACCCTCTTTTGATATATTAAGAAAATACACACGCACACAGAGACATTCATTACCTACACCAAGTTATATATCTTATAGACTGTCTTCAGAGAGGGGTCCAGACTGTACAGCAGTACTTTGATCAAATGATTGGAGCGTTCGGCGCTGAAACAACCTCCCCACAATAGAAGCAACATCTCCCACATTTCTTCGGAACATGAGTTTGGTCTACAAAGATTAAGATGGTCCACAAAGTGCGGCCGATGTTGTTTGTTGGAGAGTGAGCCTTTGGTTTCTGTCCTTTTTCGATCTTTGGGTGGCAGTGGGACCATGTCATTGCAGCTTAAAGAGAACCTGGCCCGCCCATGGTATGTTTGGACTGACGTGACTCTGACTACTACCAACGAATTGGATGCTCCTGGCAGCAACCGGAACTTTTCCCAGAATCATGGCTGTACAGTCAGATGCATCAGTGTTGCATCCACAAGATGCTGGGTATTCTAACGCCATTTGCACCACGAAACAGCAACACACATCAATCCCCTTCTCCACCACTGCAGAATCCTCACCGCGCCTCGGACCCGAGGCTTTCGGATGACGAACCAATGACAAGAGAGAGCCTTGGGATGCGAAGATTGAGATACCCTGAAATGGTCATGGAAGTGGGCGCCATGGCAACCTGGACATGACGATTTCCTCGACTTTCCCCGGTGTTTGTTTTTTTTTCACTTCCACGATGGGAGTGTACGTGCTTCTTGTGTTGAGGTGTTGAAGAACGAACGTTGGGAAGACCACCCTGTTGCATGCGATGGATCAGGGTCACTTCCCTCGGATGGACGGCCAATGATGGCCGCCAGACCACCCTCAGAGTACGGCGATTTGACCAGTTTCCAGGTTCCGAGTCAGTTCAACGAACTTCAGCCTTCTTACAGCAGGCCGTGTGCGAACGTGCACCTTGTACTAATCCACGTGGACATATCTCTACACATGATACTTGCTTAGAAGCAATACAGCCTCGGGATTGATTGTGGAATTCTTTTTGGCTCCGGCTCCAAAGGCTTTGGTTTATCTCCCTTGAGCTGCAATCGTTTTCTCATTATGGCGCGCCGCCTCGCTTACCTGGCCCTGTGTTGGTCTGCTGGTGCGAGCGAAATCCTTTTGGCCTCCTTCGATGGCCAGGCGGTCTCGCATGCAGGGCACGATCACTGTGGTCTCCCATCGACTCTGAACACAAGTCAATCAGCTCATATGGAGTTCCCTTGGACGTTTTCAATAGCAAAAATAGATGAACACGCCCTGCCCGATCCTTTCCACGGACCGGCCATTGATTAGAAGGTTTTTTAGGATGCGGCAACGATATGATTTGAACATATTTGCCTCTCCCACCAATTGGTCGAGTGTTACATGGGCTGGACGATCCGGCCCACAGAAGCCGCTGTGGAACCAGGGTTGGCATGAACACATTTGGGTTGGCATGAGTCATGCCCAGAGGGTCCCAGTCCCAGAGGGCCTCCCCAGAGGGTCAAGATGGTGTAGAGGTGAGACATCGTCCAGACTGTGAGACTGTGAGGTGCACGGGAAAACAGAGACCCGGTGGCTGACCATGGCTGACCTGAAAAACGTCGCATTCTTCGAGAAGCGCGTGGTGATCATCCTTGGCATAGACCAAAAACTTATAAATTCACATATATATATTTATAATATATAATAGTATGGCTTCTCCCTTGAGAAATTATTTTGAGGTATACCGTCACCCAAAATAATTTACTAGACATATTTTTTGGAACATATTTGAGAAAGGGGGTGGTGGGTGAGGACCCTTGTATTTGCTTAAGAATTGGGTATAAGGTACCCAACATAATTTTGCTTCCAAAGGTACATTTTGCCAAAAAAAACATTTCAAACCACCCGTGAGGATACCTCAAATAATAGCCGCAGGAATTTTGCTGTGACGGGGTGGCCCAGGGGGTAGGGGTACCCCTCAAATAATTGAGTCGGAAGCCTACCGAGCTCTCATTTGCCAGGTAGGGGGCCCCACCTGAGCAACAAAACGAACGCTGGACCCGTTGAAATCCGGTGGGCGCCCCACCTGTCGCCACCCAGAAGGTAGGGGGCATTGTATAATTGACCTTTGTATTATGTCGATGGCCAACAACAACCCCGCAGCAGAGATGTTCTCTCTAACTTCCCCTTTCTCAGCCACCAGCCAACACATGGAATTCTCCCTACCTAGCATTGTAAAACCCATGTCAAGTCTGTTGTGGGTGCACCCTTTTGGGTAAACAAATTATCGAGGGATGTACTGTACAATGAGCCACTGCCAGACCAATCTTCTACTACTACTGAACAGGTTCATGTTTCATGCCTCATAGGCAAACTGGAGTGCAAACTGAATTTGAGATTCGCAAATGATAGCCCCAAAAAAAGCATCTAACCATAGGTCATGTTTTTGACCAGTTCCTTCTGACAATGTTGAAAGCAGGCGGTGAAGACTTGTAGAAGTCGGGAGGCATTCACTGAACGACTTGCTACAAAAAAACTGACATGTTCAGAACTTCACCATGACACCCCCGCAAAAATCACCAGACCCAAGTCTCTCCCACCAGATTTCGCTGCTACACTCGCCCCCACTTCTTCCAGGCTCCCCACCAGTGGACGCAGATGAACGATCCGGTGATGGGTGGCCAATCCTCGTGCAACTTCACCGTGGCGGATGGGGTGGGCGTCCTCCTGGGGCAGGTAGCCGATGTGCCATACCTGAAAGCGCCTGGCTTCATTCAGGCGCAAGCCGGGGGTTCAGAGAGAAAACCATGTTCTACTCGCCGTTTTCCGACGTGTGAGATTCTACTTGTTGCGGTCGTGGAGCTCTATTTTCTGCAGTTGTGTTGTGTGGAGGCCTACGTCACCGATGTGAGCCCCTTCGAGATCTTCCCAGACATTACCGGCTGCAAGAGCTTAAGCCTTGAGGTCGGGCAAGAGGGCGTACGGGTCACGCCGACGCTTCCATTGGCCAGGGTTTTTGTTTGGCAGTCGCCGCGAACAGCGGGGACCATGTTTGGTTCAAGGTGGTTACGGGAACCATGTGACATGAACGCGCGGAGCAACGATGGAATTCTCGGTGTGAACTCACAGGTCGTGCGAAGGGCTTCGTGAAGATCCTTCACCTGGCCCGGCCACTGGTGGTACCACCTGAATGGTCGGAGAGGTTGAGCGGCCCCCTGTTGCTCTATTCCATATGTACCACGGTCTTCAACCTCTCTTGGCGGATGTAAGAACAGCAGCAGGAGGCTGGAGGAGGAGTAGCAGGTGCCGAGGTGTTTTTTTTCGAACGCTTGAGAGCAGCGCCTCTTCCTCGAACCACGGGTTTCTTCGTAGAGTTTTCAGCCTTGGCCGTGCCTGCTGCTCCAGAAACTATATATATATATATTTATTGTATATATATATATTACATACAACTATGCCTATCCTATATAGTACTTCATAATCTTCATAGCTCTTCCTGCCAGCAGTGGCAGCTGTCAGGTGAAGTCCATGGTGGACTACAAGGGCTATCGCTTCTCTTTTGGGAGCGCCCATGCGCCTGGAGGGAAGTTCCATGCCTATGGTGTCATGGCCAGTTGAAGCCTGGGTTTTCTCAAGCATAGGCCACCTGCGGGAAAAGTTACATTTACAACCCCAAATCCATTCTTTGGATTCACTGCCAAATCACCACGCAATCGAATACATGCAACTCATGCAACATCCAATGCCAACTCAACCACACAAAAATAGAACCTCTAGGAACCTCTCATGTATTTTGCTTTTGCGATTCCATCACCCAACAACCGCGGCAACCGCCGAACCACAACGCTGGTTTGTCCCGGTTCGAGGCTACAAGTCCAATTTCGATGCTGGGAAGGTGGCCGAGTGGAACACTGTGACGCTGCCCATTGAGGGCTTCACAGATTTCTGGGATGATGCGACTGGAGAGGCCATCAAGACCTGCCAGGAGTGGCATCCACCAAGAGCGATCCGGAGTGCCGGGCCCTATCCAACCATATGAACTGCAGTTTCCTAGGTGCATAGCGTTTTTCGATGGGAAAGTACAGTTGGTCCCTTGAGTGACTCAGGTTTGTGTCAAGAAGCACCTTGGACGATTTGGGTATTGTGATACCAGAACCTTTACTATCCCTTTATATACTATCAAAGATGATCCAGTTGGTCTGGGTGGACTCACGAACCGCACAACCTCGTGACCTCGCGAGGAGAACAAGATCTACTGCCCAGATGCCACGACTTTGAAGGACGGGAAGTTCTCAATCTTTGCGCATGCATCGCTTGGTCCAGACAGCATTTCAAACTTGAGGTGAGTACTGTAATATTAAGGTAAATGAAGCAAATTTCAGAAGCATGGGCTCTGGAAATTAACAGACCCAAATGTAATTTGTTGACTCAGCCGTCAGTGGTCGTTCCCTTTTTTGGGCAATATACTGTATCGTTAAACTGTTGGGCATTGACGGCCAAAGCCAGGTAGGATTGGAAAGATGCGAGCCTCAAAATCATGGGGTTTTGTAGTTCTCCGTGTTCCAGGCGCTTCCCCATGGACTCATATGTCAAGGATCCCTGTTGCACTTCTATTCTCTTTTGTGCTGGGGCTGGGGTCAGTGCTGGGGTCAGTGTCGAAACGTGCAGCGAGTTCCCCTGAGGACATGAGAACCATGGCTTTCTGGGCAGAAGGCCTGAAAGGCCAAGTCCACTTGCAGATCAAATCTGTCAAGGCCACCGACTGCACGAATCTCACGAAGCTCTCAGGTGAGCCCAAGTCCGAGCACCTGTTGGTTTGAGGTGAACCATGAGGTGAACCATATGGCACTTGAAACGGGGATGACAGGGATCGAGCATGGAGGTCAAGATAGGAGAAGTATATATATATATATCATAGTATAATATGTATACTGCGCTCTTTGTGTGCGAATCTGCATCGTTCTCTTGACTTATATATGATAATATATTACAATATATATATATATGTACATCATTATTTCTGTTGATTTGCAAGAATCCATTTGCATTTTTTGCAGACCTTCCTTGTTTTGGCGAGTCAAAAGGCAAAAAGATCAGATCCACTTTGGGCCACCGGCCGCTCGCTTCCTGGATGCCCCTGCAAGCTCTCGCCATCTCTCATCATGCGTGTGGCGCATGGAGCCTGGAAAAAGCCTTCCTTGGATTCCAACATTTGTCGAGTTTTATGGGACCTGGAATTGTGTTTCCGTTGTTTTTATCTAGGATAGTTTTCTAACAACAAGTGTACATGTATTCACTATATACGGAAACCCAGGGGGCTTGACAGTCTCACTCAGTTTTCATGACAATTCTCGCGCCGACTGAAGGGATGCGCCCACACGAAAATGGTGTGAAAGAGCTGGGGCTGAGAGTGAGGGTGTTCCAAATCGCCCCAATCTCCAAGACATTAGCCCGGTACTGAGGGAAGAACAACAAGAACGTGCCCCCAGCAGGCAGGATTGTGCATAATTGCTCCTGAACTCCGTTCAACATTCTCCACTGCCGAGGCGAATCCTTAAGATTCGGTTTATTTGGGAGATTTGTTGTTGAAGGTAGGGTTACAGTGGCGCAGGGGAGCGCCTTTTTGCGAGGCAGGTTGAAGAAGGCCCCAGTGACAAACGGTAGAAGACGACCCACAAACCCATGCAAAACAACCCATGGAGCCATTGGCATGTTGCCATTGGTCGCAGGCACTTGCCAACACCCGGTCCGTTCGCCCGAAATCCGTAGGACCCGGTGGACCCGGAAGTCTGGACGACCCCGGACATCCCCGGATCCGTGCAAACCAGGATTTGAGATGCTTTGAGATCCCCAAGCCTTCCAGAGAATCCAGGGTCCCCTATAGGTGCTAGGTGCTAGGTCTGCACGTCCGGATGTCGCGCGCGCGCCGGGATGAACCTTCCGAGGATTTTGGTGGAGGAGGCCACCGACTTCTACGTGGTCACCGGTCTAGTGAGTCTCACTGACGCTTGGGCAGACCGGTGTTGCGTCGATCTGCGGAGCGCGTGGGTTTCGTTCGGGACGCTTCTCACCGGTTTTCGCAAGGTGGAAAGCCACAGAACCGGAGTTTCTCATTTCACCATGCTCTTAGGGAAGGGGGTGCGTATTTGTTGCTGTGGTGGACTGTTTCACAAATTGGTGCGATACATGAGGGATGGTTAGGTTGAGCATGCACGCCGAAGTCAAATATTTGACATGGCGAAACCCATTCACATTCCGTCATGGTCACATAAGCAACCGCCAAAAAACGTGCAATGGCAATGACTATATAATTTTAGTATATAGCGGTCGTGAATGTCAGGAATTGGACTAAAGCCTGCATAAGCGATAGGCATCCCTCATAAGCGATAACCGATAATATTGCTGAATCATGTTCTTTGCTTGAACGTACGTTTTGGCAGAAGCTTACATCGGTAATGCAGAAACCAAGCCGCTCCCAGGACTACACTTTTCAGATCTCGGCAGAGAATTGTGCAGGATGCCTGACTGAACGGGGGGACAAGTCGGGACAAGGAAGAAAAGGACAGGACCCATATAATATAAACGTTCCTTGACAATCCAATCATGTACCATTCACATCCTTGGCCAATCATGCAGTATTTACAGTACGTGATTTTATGTGTTTGGTGAGAAATGTTCCTATTCACATATTTTGTGCTAAAGTGGATGTAAATGTGACATCGTCGACTGGGACGGGTGCATTGGAACAGCCTAGGTGCACATTTCGGCATGAACATGCGTCGTCCGTGCCCAGTTGAACATCAAAGCACGTGAACATCCGGTGAAATTGGGTGTAAATGCGACAAAAGCTCTGTGAAACTACGTGAAATTGGTTTTGCTTTTATGACCTGGATTAAAGCTAACTCTAAAATCATAAAACATAGTTAGACAACATGCAAATAACATGCAATACATATTACAAAACAACATACAAAAGATAGGGCACACAGTTCACAATGAGCAGGAACACTAGGTTGCTGCCTGACACCAAGAAGCTTCGCAAGAGAAGAAAGCCCTAAACAGGAGCCCTCCTTCAAAAACCACAAACTTTTAGAAGCCTTCAACTGTTTTCAGCAAAACTTTTGCTGAACGTTTGAACAAGCGCTTTTGCGAAAGCCAGCCGAACGTAGTGAGTAGTTAGGGGGTCTGGGGGCATTGGCCCGCAAAAGGGACACGTAAACTCGGCACATGCTGGGGGAGGAGGGTGGACGGATGGAAGGTTTTTTGAGGTTGTGTTGGAGGTGATTTTTGAGGGGTGGTGATGCAAGAAATGCAATTTGCATCATTTGCATCATCTGAATGGTAAAGTGTAGTTGGCACCTTGCCAGGTATAGATACCCAGGGTAGCTATAGTGCAGTTACCAGGTATAGTACTTCAAGTTACCTTTCCATCAACCGCTCGATAATCACCTTTACACACGCACAGCAATCCGCAGCTTTGAAGTTTCATGCGCGGGATACCTGGGAACAGAATTGTAGCAACCCTGGGTCCGTATAAATGCTATGTTGCTATACCTCTTACACATCTATATAGTTCAAAGCACGAATGAGACTTCAAAGCTGTGGTTTGCTGTGCATGTGTCAAGGTTATCGAGCGGTTGACGGAAAGGGAACTTGAAGTACTATACCTGGCAACTGAATTGTAGCTACCCTGGGTATCTATACCTGGCAAGGCGCCAGCTGAGTAAGAAGGGGGGTTCGGGGGGGTGGCCTGAGAAAGCACACTCGAAAGTAGGTGCTGTGTAGGGGTGCACGGAAGCAAGGTTTTGGAGGTGCTTTTTTTGTGACTTTAAGAAATGCAATTGTCTTCGGTTGGTTGCAGTGCTATACTTGGCAACTGAATTGTAGCTACCCTCCCTGGGTGTACCTGGCAACTGCCTTGTAGCTGCCCTGGGTCCGCGCGCGTGCGCCTAAATCACGGGCAGCCGGGAGCCAGCAAGGCGCGCGCGCGCGGACCCAGGGTAGGGAAATTGAAATGGGAAACCTGGCAACAGAATTGTAGCTACCCTGGGTCCGTATAGATGCTATGTTGCTATACCTCTTACACACCTATATAAGTTCAATGCAAGAATGAGACTTGAAAGCTGTGGATTGCTGTGCGTGTGTAAAGGTTATCAAGCGGTTGACGGAAAGGGAACTTGAAGTACTTTTCCTGGTAACTGAATTGTAGTTACCCTGGGTATCTATAGCTGCGCCAGCTGAGTAAGAAGGGGGGTTCGGGGGGGTGGCCTGAGAAAGCACACTCGAAAGTAAAAACGCCGGCTTTCGTTTTGCAGCTTCTCAGGTTCAAGTGGTGTTCTTAACCGTGTTTTGCGCTAGAGTCATGTAAATAAGATACTGTAAATTATTGCAATATTTTTTTTAATGTCCTTTTTTTCAGATGGAGATGACACACCCCCATCGAAAACGGACACTTCTTCTCATGGAGAAGCGATTTGAGCGATTGGGCCCCGCCTCCCCCAGGCTGGAGCGAATGGTCGGAGCCCAGCACGAAGCAGCACGGAGCCCAGCCAGTTCGCACGGTGGCGGCGAGCGGAGCACGGTTTTTCCGGCGCGGTTCGCCATGAAGGACGTGATGGGCGGCCATCCCAGCAAACCATGGTATGGCCACCGCTTGTTTTCGTGTTTTTTTCTTCAATTGGCCGATTTATATCCATCTACATACCCCGCATTCAGATGTAGAGAGTGCTTGCGCCCAGCAGAAAATGATGTATTGCCGCAGGCCCAACACAAAATGTACCAAAAAAATGAATCCACAAGGTATCGATCATATGTGAATGATCTGTGGGCAGCAAGTGCTAAGCCCCCCAATTTTATTTCAACCTCCAGTGTGAACGCAGGATAACGCAGGCCCCTCATGTTCCACCACATCTTCCACCTTGTTTTCTGCTCCACCGCCCAGGACGGAGCCGCCGGTGCCGAAGACCTTGAACCAGCCCACGCTGCGCCGCTCCACGCATCACTCCGCAGCACCTCGGTGACCGGTCGGAGCGACCGAGCTTTCGCCCAGGGCGAGCTGAGTGTCGTTGAGCTATGACGTCCCAGGCATGGATTGGAAGACCTAGAGGTCATATGGGAGGGTGTATATTGAACTAGACTCCCTATATATATATATAGGGAGTGTGAACCCTGGAGGTTGAGGTTTACCAGAGGGCACCTACAACGAACCCAGCCTAGAGAGGTTGAACAGCCCTATCGCCTATTGCCCCCTAACGGAGCAGATGCCCTGCATGGGTTCTACCTTGGTGAAGGCATTTCGACCATTTAATGAAACAAACAAGAACATTGACATTGACGGTTTAATCAATTTATAATCACACAACTTAGCATATAGTACTTAGGTTCTCAGCAGATTGACGGTGAGGAGAGGTGCTCCCTTGCCTCTTTTTTTGGGGGGGTTCCTCATTCGGAGATAAAGGCTCCACTCTGAACCACGCACGGCTTGAGAGGTCATTCAGTGGCAACATCCGCCTTTCACTGACGTGCCGGTGGATTCCTTCTCCTTCCGACACACCACGCAGCTTGGACGTCGAGCGCACCGCGCGCATCCTCGCGGCTCGGACGGCCTGGACGGTCAGCTAAGCCTGGTAGGAAGCAACGCAAACCGGTCTGATGGCCTGTAACACTCAGTAAAGAATTATCACTAGAGAAAGGCCTGCAACTGAACCATCATCATCCATGGTTACTGGTATAATCAATAGGATAGACCGATAGACCATTAGCCTCATTAGATCCAATCTATTTCGGTGCGTGGGGTGGTGGTCTCACAAAGTGGGATTCATGTTGCTTTATGTGCCATCTCCTCGGCTTAATCCCCTGTCATCCACTCCCCTTGCTTGACCCTTCACCTTCTCCCCTAGATCCACCAATCCACCACATCCTTCCGCGCCTTCCACTATACCGAGCCCGAACAAACCCAGCACCAACACGGTGCCTCCGCCCGGCCCGAACGCGGCCCCGCGGCGGTGCCGAACGCTGCCGAACGGTGCCAAACGCGGCCGAACGCGGCCGTGCCGAACCTGCGCAAGGTCAGCGGATTGGAGCGGAGAGGTGGTAGAGATCACCGATGTGTCGCCCAGCCTCTCGCAGTACGTCATCACCGGCCTCCGGCCTGGGCAGGCGCGGTCTGGTGGGGGTGGTGGTGGTTGGGGTTGGGGCGGAAGAGCGGAGAGGTAGACTTGGGATTCATAATTAATCATAAAACCTGTCCATTTGGATTGTCAACCCTTCTTCAGTATGGACCATTCAGGGGGCTTCATCAATCAAGAGTCTACATTTCATGGGCTTTCCTATTAATGTAGTCCCTTGATTAATCAACCCCCCCCCCCCCCCCCCCCTCAACAACCAGGGCCTCCAATATAATGTACAAGAAAACTAATCAAAGGACCAAAACGAAATGAATCATTATTAAAATCTTCTAGGTCTTCTCCTGTAAGATAAGCAAATCCCAGAAAACTCAAAAGGGAAAAAGTAAACTATAACAATAAAAAATATTCAACTACAACTATCCCTGCCCAAAAAAAAGACATTCTGGGGGCCTTTATTAATCTGTGCAGGAAAAAAAGACACTATTCTAGGGGGGTTTATTAATCACAGGACTACATTAATGTTGGTTTTTGGGGGGAGTCAGGGTGATCTGGGAGCCACGATTCTCTTTAACACCAAGATTTCCACACTGTTCGCCATGCCAAACGCCATGCTCGCCTCGCCCCCACCCCCCGATCGAACTCGGGATGTTGATGATATACGATGATTTCATGTGCGTGCTTCGTCTCAGAATGTGAATGCCACTAGGTCGTATTGACTGGCCGCGCACGCGCACATCAAACTCCAGGATTGTCCGTTCGACTGCGCACACGATCCTCTGGTGGGATTTGCCGTTCGACCATGTTCTACCTACAACCGACAGCCCACCATTGATTGGTCTCCCATGTTTGGCATCCTAAAAAGGTCGGCCGCAGCCTGCAGGTCTACATTTTTCAGGTTCGGGCTGTGAGCCATGCCATGCACTGCGATCCCTGCGGGGAGGAAGAGAGGGTGGAGAATTGGTGGTGACCCACCTTATGGTGACCTTATGACCAACCTTAACGGAAATAGCTTCACCCAGAGATTGGAAATTCAAAAGGTTTTGTTTGTTTTTGTTTTGGTTTCCCGTTTCCAGCAGAGACCACCAGTGCAAGGCAACGGCGCAGAGCTTCAAAACAACGGTGCGGGGCGTTTTGATTCATTTTCTATTTGGCGACTCCATGAGGGACGTGACTGAGAGGGTTTAATGTCGTCCAAGATTGGAGGTTGGCTCCCCGAGCTGGTGATCAGGGTTCACTCAATGAGAAGATGCTGGAGAAAGGACGGAAACTTACAATGCACTAGCATTAATTAGCTCACCATCTTATGGACACCCTCCCAAAATTCCTTAGAGAAAAGCAACCGCATGTTACATCATGTGGTGCAGGGCCCTCCATGCATGGCTTGTATGTTACATCATGTGGTGCATGGCCCTCCGAATCCTTCGACTCAGTGTTCGCTTGGAACGTTCTGCCTCGTAACTCTGCCGCTCTTCAGCTCGTCCGATGGACCAGCCGTGAGCCTTCAGGAATCGCTATGGGAAGGGTATTTGGAGCGAGGGCAGCATCCCGATCCGCACTACTGATGGGAGCATCCCTGCCACTGGGCGGTGGAAAGTGGGAGGAAATCAGCATCATTGGTGTGTGTGTGTGTCAACGCCTGTTTCTAAGGCTTTCACACATTGCAAGTTAATTCAAAACCACTCAAACTCTTTTAAAGGCCGGGGGCACGGCGGCCGTTCACCTGGCCGTGCTAACAAAGCTATGGTGTTCGGCTGGAAGAGATACTGGACGCAGTATCTTGTACCTGCAATCTTCAATAGTAGTCACACTCAATTTCACCTTTGTTCAACAGTTCTGTTGAACCGACACAGCACTCTTACAGTTCCTGCGAGTCAAGGTCTAGTTCCTGCAGCGGGTAACGTAATCACTAGAGTGGTCTACCTTCACTGATTCAGCTCTTGCGAGCATCAATCTAAGTGTGTGTCGCCACAGAGTCCCACTGAGGGCTGTGGTGTGATCCCCATCGAGGGGCGCAGCATGTGCACAGACCCATTTTTTGGGACTATCACTGGTTTTCTTCTGTCCCTCTCACGTGAACTTCATTCTGATTGTCACTGGCTCGTTTGTTCTGCTTGAGATTGCTGATCGAATGCCGCAGGGCCCACTGAGATCGAATGCCGCAGGGCCCACTGACGAATCCTCCATGCCGCTAAGTATTCACATGTCATGAAAAAATGCGTGCCATGCAGCTAAGTAATCTCTGTTAGTTCTTTTCTCTCCTGCTGTTGCTTTTCGTTTTATAGGTCTTTGTTTCGCTTGCTAGAGGTTTTTTAGGTTTCAGGTAAACTTTTTGTCAAGTGCTAAGTATGCACTCGTACGTCTCACACTGAGTAATTCATGCACGGTCTTGCTGTCCTTCTTTCCGGGGTTCTTTCCTCTTCTTCAGGTCTTCGTTCGTTGCTAGAGGCTTTTTAGGTCTCAGGTAAACTTTTAGTCAAGGGTGCGCCGATTTCGGCTTTCTGACCAAGTGCCTTAGCCAACCATTTTCCGTCTGAGCCTGCCACCCCACCCATGCACGAGAATTCACACTTCTTATTCCCCCCCTCTAATTAGGGTAACAGAAGGAAATCGCACTCAACACACTTGTGTGTTGGTGCCTTTCCTTCTGTTTCTCCTGTCCTAGTCTTTCCTACCCGGGCGGTCTAAGACTAATGTCCCGCTCGCTAACTATTGCACTTAATTCATGCGGCTAAGTATTCAGTAACTAGAAGGTTTCGCAACTAGTGGGCCTCGTAACTACACCTATCTTTCTTGCCCTCTTCGTTTTCTATTTCTATTCTTTCCTGTCCTTTCTTTCTAAGGCTTGTTAGGTGGCTACTAAACCTCTTCACACATTGCAAGTTAATTCAAAACCACTCAAACTCTTTTAAAGGCAGGGGGCACGGCGGCCGTTCACCTAGCCGTGCTAACAAAGCTATGGTGTTCGGCTGGAAGAGATACTGGACGCAGTATCTTGTACCTGCAATCTTTAATAGTAGTCACACTCAATTTCACCTTTGTTCAACACCGACCCAGAACTCTTACGCTCCTGCGAGTCAAGGTCTAGTTCCTGCAGCGGGCAACGTAATCACTAGAGTGGTCTACCTTCACTGATTCAGCTCTTGCGAGCATCAATCTAAGTGTGTGTGTGTGTGTGAACCCACGGGGGGCTACAGATGGTCTGGGTGTCCACAGGGTCAGGGTTTCACGTGGCTTCGACCCCGCATCCATAGCTGATGGTCCAGCCGCTTCCTGATTGCACGGGAGCGGGTGCCCTCAACCACTCCCACGCCTTGGAGAGTCTGTTATTCTGACTCACGATTTAAAGGGCGGATTTTGTTTAAGATCCCTCACTCGAGTTGATCCAACATTGAAGATATGAATCATGCAATTTTATGGAATTCCTTGACACTTGTGTGAGGTGGACGAGTTTCCCTTTTGCTACCCTTTTCTCACAGAGGGTTGGCTTAACCTTTCCAAATGGGCAGGACTTCATCATGTCATAAGCAGTGCCATAAGCCTGGTTTTTGGGCACAGCCCAGCCAGCACGGGCCACATCTCGATGGGCAGCGCCGTTACATGCGTGGACCCATTGCGGTCAAGGCCAAGATCGAGACCCTGAAGGCTTCGGATATCTACCAATCCTTCATCCGATTGAAGCAACTTGCATGTTTCTAATTTTTTGCTTTGACTTGCGGAGTACGGACGATGGGAGTAGTACCTGGTTCCGGCGTGGCGTTCTGGGTGGTCATGGGGCATCGAGAATGGTAGTTGTACACAGTAGATCCGTTTCGTAGTGAGAGCATTGGTATCCGACTTTTGCCTCGTCGGTGCCAGAACGCTCAAGTCAAACATAAGGACGGGCAAATAATACTGTACGTCAAAAGGTGCATTATATAATCCTTTCATATCGTTTCTTTTTCTCATTTTCTCAAGTTTTGATTTGGTTGTGGTTGTTTCTTTATGGGACAGGTGATCGAAGGTCCCTACATGTTGGGCATGTTGTATTACATTGTATTACTGTATACTGTATACTGTAGTCACTGAATGTGTGTCTAGTTTTGCGACTTTGGAGCTGACCATCGCACAACATCTAAGTACATTTCCGTAGGTGCTTGGGCTCTTGAAGCCGATGCAGCTTGAGAGTAGATTTGAGGCCACAATGCTAGTTCCATGAGCTTTGGGTGAGAACAACCACCAACCTTACCAGAAATACATTCGGATGCATACGTTACCTGAGTTGAGCACGCCAGGAAAGTCCACAAGTGCTTCACTCGTTCCCAAAAATAGGATGCTACTGGGTGTGTTGCAACAAAATTCCATTGCTATCATAAAACGACCGGTAACTGAAGAGTAGCTTGCATTTCGCAAGTTCTGTTTGTAGGTGATAGTTTTTGGGGTGAAACTGGGGTTTCTGTAAGATATTTCCCTTAAGCCACTCCATTGAGTGCTGAGTTTGGTGTGTTTGGCTTCACGTCGTCACTGGTGCTCACGTCGTCACCGATCATCGACCGAAGCAAGCACCACCCCGATAGCTTCCGCTTGGGTGGTTTTGATCGCGTGCTGCGCTACACACATCGGGGACTTCACCAAATCGGTCTCACCAAATCTTCCAATCTTGCAAATCTCAATGATTTTCAACGATTTCAAGGATTTCTTGGACTCCATGTGTGGGTCTTCTCACCGTCCATCGCAGCCAACGGTCTCAGTGGTCATTGTCTCCACCGGTGCGGGCTTGAGGTGGGCCCCCGTGGACGAGAATGGCTACCCGATCACTGGATACCTGCTGCGCTACGCACACGAGGAGGACATGGCAGAAGCCACTGAAGCAGTGCCCAGAGTTGTCACCTGGCACTGGAGAGGAGAGGAGGCGTTAATAACATATAAAAAATATATATATATATATAATATTATAAATGTACAGTATATGTTTGTGTGTTTGTGTGGGTCTGTGTTCGTGTGTTTGTGAAGACCGCCACTGAATATTAATTAACAGTTCTTGTGATCAGCTGATTGAACTGGGGGTCTCCCCAAAAGATCCACCAGTAAACCAAAGGTCGAAGCAGTACAAAAAGATCATTCGATCAAATGATCAACCCCCCAGAAGCACGCTTCACATTGCCAAGGATGCTGAATGTTGCCATCCAGGGGGGTCAGAGGAAGGTTGATCAACCTTTTTGTGGCCATGCTGTCGGACGATGTGGAGCTCTTGGGGTGGAGGCTTCCTAGCACCGAGATGCCTTCCTGGCACAGAACCATCATATAAATGGCTGCCTAGGCTACTATAGGATTGTGTCACAATGTGTCACAGGTTGTTCCGACCTGCAGCATGCCCAATTCTTGGTAGAGCTTTTCGCCACGAGCTTTTCACCAGTGACTTGGTTCAGGGGTGGGTTGTTCACCCAACGAATGTAACCGTTCTGTGATTGGAGGTCCACTCTGTGGATCCTTTGAGCCCAGCATTCCAATCACCACGCGTTCCGAAGCATTTGTGAGGGACCAATGGCCTACTAGACAGAACAAGCACGGCAACTTCAGATGCATCTTGTGCAACTTATGCACGGGATTGCTAAAACAAGGTGTAACAGTTGTAATTGTTGGACGGTGGCCTGACCAGGAATCTATGAGAACTTGAACGTAGTCTTTGGTCCCGTTCCGCAACTCCTAAGTGTTGATGTTTGCTCCAATCCGGCCAGACTGAGCCCTTGGTGACCGACGAGCCGATTGCGTCGATCGCGTGTTTTTCGTCCTCCGCAGCCTGTTGGTGCTCAAGGGACGGCCGGAGTTGCGGCCGCTGGGAGGGACGCGTCGCGTTCGGATTTTCATGGATGTTGGAGTCTTCTCCAAGTAGCGCCTAAAGCTGCAGGGTTGAAGGTGGTTAAAGGGATGCGTGAGGAGTGATGGGTTTTACGAAAGGATGTCTGCAGCAACTGCAAGAGCCATTGGGGAAAGAAGGTCGAACTTTCGGCATGTAGGCTTTTATTCACCCAAGCTGCGATGTCCAAAGCCCCCCAGCCGGAGCCATTAAGAGTATCATTTGGACACTGTGAGAGGGGACCGATCTGGAACGGTTTGGGGTGTGCGACTGGCCCGGCTCGGATCCGAGCCCCAGGTGAAGCGACCGATGAGTGCAGGCCGATTCGGGTGGTGCGAAGGTATGGGTGGCGGTTCCGCCCATGCTGGAAGTTTGAGGAAACACATGTGAGACCTCTTCTTCTGTGACTCCGGAAGAAGGAAAACAGACCAGTTTACCATACTCTACCCATTGGACCACGGGGCCTCCCGATTGAGCACACACACACATACCGTACTTCTTTGGTTTGTGGGACCTTTCAGCTCGGAAGGGGAAGTTCGTAGGAAGCTCAGCTTCCATGGTTCAGAATGGAACTTGTGTTGCCTCCCGGCTGCCGGGATCTGGCTGCATTAAGATAGACAATGGCCGAGAATAGGCTGGTTAACAAGCAAAGATGCGTCGAGACATTGTGGAGACAGACTGGTTTGTCTTTATGGTAAGGTTCACAACGTGCTACAGTGGGAGATTGTTGCAACAGCTCCAGGCGTGCTGCGCCATCATTGCTATTTTCACGTACTGCAACCGCCGGTGAAAAGCATCATCATTTTCCTTCAGATGGATCATCATCATGGACTTTCACACTGGTCCAGCAACACACCAGTTGTGGAGTCACCAGAGCCTTCCTAGCGGCCAAAGTCCGCTTCAGACTGGCAACCATTCTCGTTCAAACTGACGCGGGAGTTTGTGTATTTGCACTGGTGTGCGGGGAAATGCCTGACTGGTGATGAGTGGTGATTAATGTTGCAGAAGTTCTTACCGAACCCAAATCGGTTCCAAGCGATTCTTCAAGGGGCGATTGAAGGCCATTACAGCCATTACGAGACAGGTAGAGCGGACACCGTGGGGCAAAGATATCATGTAGCCTAGCATCATATAATATATTATAATATAGCGTGGCAGCTTGAAACCTGCCTCTCAGGCTGTGAATGCCTCCTGGTTTCTAGGTTGTGCTCTAGATCGATTCAAAGCAACGGTACAAACCACACACCCTGTATGGAGGACCCTGAAATTTTGGAAACCACGAACACGCACACGAAGACTCGAGTACAAAACAATCTGAAGGACATTGGACATTGAAGGAAAACAGTGCTTCAACATCCTAGGGAAAAGAACTTTTCTTTTCTTCGGAACAAGTGGCACAACTACGTAAAATTCAACACCAAACGACGTTCGAACCCCTTGGTCCAAGCGGCTTTACTGCTGGCCAGGCATGTGTACTCGATCACCTTGCGAAACACGTTTCTCCATTTCGAGCCCTCGAAGCTCGATCGAGAGCGAATGGCTTTTTATTTTTTGCGGCTTTGCGGTGCGAATTGACCTTGGAATTTCATCGAATCCATATATAACTTCTTTCGATCTTGGGTGTGCCCAACAAACAATCTCTCACCCAAGCGCGACATCGGTCCAGACAGCATCATGTTGGACCGATATCCGAAGAGCCCAGAGATGTGGTCAATTGATATTCTTGCCATTTCCTTTTTGGGAATCCACCAGGGTTTCGCAGAACGCCGGAGCCGGTGCACGAATATGCTGGTTTCTTTCAACAGATTCAATGCCCAAATCTGGGAGATGTACTCGTAATTGATGGTAATAGTAACAGCTGGACCTGAGCCACTCTTAGTCACATTTGCTGAATGAAACTGTTTTCCGGCTGTACGTCCACGATTGCTAGAATGAATAATGAAGGGCCAGTGTATATATTATATATACCTATTATATATATATATTTATATTATATTTACATAGATGTATTGTTCTCGCATATTTTCACATGCTTTCCCATGTGGTAACATACTATGTTGATTGATCATGTTCAGCCATGTTCCATGCTTGTGATTCGTGGTTCTAGGCCTACTCTGTCATCAATGGTCCTGGTGGTACGGCCCCGTGACCGGTGGAGACGGTGGAGATGTCATGAGCTGTCAACATGTAAACAGGTGTCCGGCCCAAGCAGTGGCCAATTCTTGGCCTCCACCCTGTGATGGGTGTTGGATGTATATTTGGATGCTCTTCTACTTGGAGGAGTCGGTTTTACCGTTGACCATACCCTTTTGGGCATGTGGGTCCTGCTTTGTATCACGAAATGTTGCTCCATCGGGGACAGAATGATGAGCCTGAAGAACTTAGGTTTGTTATGCTTGTGAGTCAAAACCGGGGGACCCTAGTTGACCACCGATACTTGGCGCATGAGTCTAGCGCCCGATGGCCCTTCCCTTTCAGGGTGGCGAGGGTGTTTGTATATATGTAGGATCCATGCGTGTATGAACACTGTTAACACACACACACACCCATTCGCAAAGATCCCACTAGCAACGACAGGAAGGCGACAAACAGAACACGAAGCCACCAAACCACAAACCAAAGAAAACCAGGCGCAAAACGAAGACCACCCAAGGCCACAAGCATCAGTGCGTAAGAGATTGCAGAAGTAATTAGAAGCATTTAAAAGCAGCGATGTGGTTATAATTCACCTAGAGTAATTTACTGGGGAATTTGAACTTCATGTATCTTCATTAAGTGTTTGGGCAGCATTGTATGCATCGAGGAGGCGGCCTCTGAATTGTCATTTTTGTGTTGTAACTATGTAGGTTAGATCATTTGGCAAGTCTGAAAAGAACACACACATGATCAGACTTGCGTTCGCAAGTTTGCATAATTGATTAAACTTCGGGCAGGAAAGTTCCTGAGAATACTACAAATGCAATGGCCAACTCGATGAACTGGATGATACCAACGTCGGATGAGCTGGAATTTGCTATCCGGGCCATCAGGCGTAGGCTGGCGAGCAATACGGCAGTATTGCGACCCCATGTGCAGGCACGAAAAATCGAAGGGTATATATCATAGGAGAATACGTCCGGACTGTGCTTTTTTCCAGTTGACGGCTGGCTTTTCGTTAGGGAATTATGTTTTCCAGTTCTGATGGTAGCTTTTTTGTGTTCCTGGTGTTTTTCTGGAAGGAAGGGAGGAAGGAAGGAAGGAACCCACAAACAAAGGCATCCAACATGAGGCTGGATTGCGGTTGTTGCGAAGACGTTTTTTTCAAGGCAGGCCAGCCAACCATGCAACCATCAGTTTCTTTGCAACATCCATGTGTATGAAAACCTTGCGTGCTTCTGTGGGGAGACGTCGCGCCCTTTCCCCAACCCGCGCCATCCTTTCAAAATGCCAACCAAGCCAACAAACAATGTAGCCATCAGTTTCTTTGCAACAAATCCACGCAGATGACTTGCTACGTGCTTCTGCGGGCCGGTGATTTCCTTTCCTTTCATTTTTCCTTCCATTCCGATTCTATTCCTTCCCTTCCTATTCCTCACCAGGGGAAAAAACGACAACAACAACAACAACAACTTCCGAGCCAGCAAGTGGGCGAACGGACTGGGCGGTGGCTTTCCTTCCACTGCAAGGAACAGTGAGGATGATTCGCCTTGCGGCCCACTTCAGCGTTCAAGCTCATGCCCACAGAGCCTTGGCGAGCTCATCTCTCGTGGTGGACTCGGATGATCGTGCGGTGCTTTCCGAAGCGATGCTTTGTGTGGGCCAATCTCAGACCGCAGGGATGACTTGATGAGGCTCCTTCATAGTGGTTCGCTCCTCTAACATTCAGATGTCAGGATCCCAAGAGTCACTCAGGTCTAGAGGACAATGGTAGAAGATCTTCAGAGCCAAAGACCCTTTAAAGAATTTTTTTAAAATGGTTGATGTTCAAGTTACATGACATCCATGCTTAGCTCCTGAGCACGTGGCACAAAGGCCACAAAGGGCACAGT